CTTGGAATCTCAATTTTTTCGATCAAAGGTTTTATTTCATCCTTTCTTGAAGTCATCACTGCTATTTTTGAAAAAATGCTTTATTTTAAACAAGGTTGTGATTTGATGCAACTACGGCGGTAAAATGATAATGATACGAGAGATCGCTGTCACCAATAGGGTGTGGTGTTATTTTATTGTTTATTGTATTTTGTGTGTTGGTCATTGTATCTTGAAGACTTTGCGACACTATTATGAACTAAGTGTTTGAGTGGAGTTGATAATAACTCAACACTGGGCAGTCCCAGTGTTTTACCTTAGATGAGTCGTTTAAAGAATCTCTAAGAGACTAAAAAAGTTTTTCTTATCTTGTACATAAGCACGCGTAAGTTTTTCTTGTTTTTGTGGATTTTGTGCACTGTCGTCGAATTTTTTTTTCATATTTGACCACACTTATCGCAAAACATGGAGAGGAGAGGCTCGTTAGGTAAAGTGACTAAGATTCCCAGGCTTTGCACGTGAAAGCACGCGAAGATTTAAATCGCTGCGCAGTCAATCTTCGGATAGCAGCATCTCGGAAGTTTTTGCCACTGAGGCAACGGGTGAAGGTCGTAGGATCTTTTAGGAGCGGAGAAAACTTAGAAGCGAGAAGAATCTAGATGGTGATGAAGGGCAAAACGCTGAGGCCGGGACGGCGAAAGTAGCACCGCCTGATCACTTCGAAGAAGGGGAACAAACGTTAATCCGACCCGACCGCCACCATCATGACGATCTAGAAGGGTCTGGCGACGACTCTGCCCGGGAAAGAGTCAAAGGGTCTGGAGCGTTCCGAGACTAGTGCAAGAGAAGAACTGTTGTTCAAAAGGACGTCTAGATCGGAGACCAAGAGCGATAGTCGGAGAAAGGAACACTCCTCTCTAGCCAAGCAGAATAAGAAAGCGATGATGTCGAGCATAAGTCCCACGGAAGAACAATCAAGTTCGAAAGCAAAAAGCAAAAAAGAGTTTTAAAACGTTGTATAATGAACGTATGACATCGCTCCAAGCTGGTGGACTATCTTCTGGCTTTGACCATTTGGGACTAATGCACTCGGGCACGGATTTCTTCCAAGCTTGAAGCAAGAAAAGAACATGAAGGCGATGTCCAATTCACCATCAAGACTGATAAAAGACGGGATAACGATGGGAACGTCATCGACATTATATAGGCTGATGATGTCGATGGGTACAGAGAAAGATGGTGCATCATCGAGCACTAGGCTGCAACCTCAGTTAACCTCGTCGTCTCTAGGTCTGACCCCAGTGTTAGAGAGAGGCATGTTTGCCGACGTGATGACAGGTCTTGATGAACTGTGGCAAGATATGACAAAAAGGATCGACTGAGTAGAAGAGAGGGCTCAACAGGGCCATGAGAAGTTAAGAGACGAACTGGTAGACGCGAAACCACAAGCCAAATGCGATCAGGTCCAGTTGATTCAGAACACCGATCAGTGCCTTGCGGAGAGTTTGGCTCTGGCCACCAACGAGTCTGAAGAAAGAGATGGCAGAATGACACAAGAGATTGATCGACTACTGAACGATCATGACAACACCTATGATCAAACGATGACTAACCTGAGGTATAGATTGGACGCCAAGGCTAATCTTATGATGCGGAAGCTTGATGAACTCTTGAGCAGCAACAACCAAGAAAGTCGTTCCGGTTCAAGGGAAAATTCGCGTCAGACTACTGATGGATTCAGAGCCCACAGACATACAGAGGCTCCCCCGAAATCGAGAATAAGTTTTGAGTCTAACCAAAGGGAGAAACACAGGGCAGCCCCATCGAGGGCAGGTTGGACGGATGCCCCATCGGGGGCACGTTTGCCCACAGTGCCTCACGTCAGATCCGACCATCAATTCACATGGTACATGATACTACGATGTACGCATCAATGTTTGAGCTATTAAACAGGTCTCTTGAGACGTTAATCACCAAACTCTCGAAGTCTACTGGGAGAGGTAAAGGTGAAGAAACCGAAATCATACTAAGTTGAGTCAGATGGCTGCATTGATAGTTGGATAGAGGTGATGAAGTTGTACTTTGAGGAAGAAAAATTCTCGGAGAAACAGGAGAATGCAGCGCAATGGGGAGCAACTTAGAAGGCACGGCCCTGAACTGTGTTATGGCGAATAGGACAAATGAACTTGACAATGCTCGTAAGAATTTTGAGTCTTGCTGAATAGTTTCGGCTCGGGTGTGCAGGAGCAACAGGCGATGGTGAAACTTGTAAAGAGGCACCAAAGAGATGAATCCATTGATAAGTTTTTGGATGACCTCGAGTTGCTTAGAAGGAGAAGTTATCCTGATGAGAAAATCCTAGAAAGGAACTTACCCATAGCTTCGAAGTTCATGGATGGAATAAAAAGTGATGAACTGAAAACCATGTTGGTCACTCACTTCAACTTTTTGGCGGACTCCGGGCACACGCACGATGGTTTAAGCATTAAATCGGGTGAATACCTGCTCATAAAGCCGAGCGCTCAGCTGCTACGGTAATTGCGGCAATTGCAGTGGAATGAACACCGGCACAAGTTCCGGTTGGTATGAACCTCGTGCTGACATGGTCAAAGGAGGTCATGCGCTATTTGTGGTTCGCTGGACCATCACGTCTCAGCCTGTTCCACTTATGAACAAAACATCAAAGCGATTGGTTGTTTCCTTGACGACGTGGACGCATCTTATGAGGAGCACGAAGAGTATGTGAAAGGGCTCATGATGAAATATGAACCAAGAAGTTTCTTTCTTGATATACGTTTTTTTTGCGTCGACCGAAATGATGCCAGTTTCTTTGATAAAATTTTTAAAAATCAAATGAGCTGTCTAATTATTGATTTCTGTTGGTAATTCAAATTTCGTTGTTTTGTCCGTTTGCAAGTAAATTTTTTTCTAATTTCATTTTCGTCTATGTTAAATGCCTTTGTTTCTTCATATCTCAATCACAAATTCAAAAGCAGTAAAACCAATTCTTTTCAGGTTAGGGCCCAAATTTTGCATAATAAATGGCATTACGTTAATGCAAACAAAAACTTACGCGAGTTTTGACGTCATCATCAACTTCAGAAGCGAGATTTTCATCCAGAGCAAGTACTGAAAAAAGGTTCGATAAGAAAAGTTATCTTATCATAACCAGAAAAAAAATGTTTTTCAAAACTCCAAATAGGTCGGCCGTGATTTAAATAAACTATCATATCGGTCGGAGTCGTTACTTCAACGCCATCTGAGCACTGTAAATTATAATGGTTATCTGCAAAAGAGAATTTACTGCAAATTAGTGGATCTTAAACAACTTCAATATAAAGAATTATGCAAAACGGTAAATAGCTTAAAATTTTAGAAAAGTCTGCTGCAGAATTAATATTTTTGCATAGCTCAAAAAATTATGTTTGTTTACCAGAAAAACTCGGACAGAAAAAAAAAGGTTTTAGCAGAAAAAAGAAGGTCCTGTCCGCAATCGAACTCAGGCTTTTTTTCTTCCCAATCATTGAGCTTGAGCGTTACTTCAGAGCCAAATAGACAGAATTAAAAAATGTTTTGATCACCCTCTCCCCTCAAGAGGGTTGAAAAAGAGCTATGACGCAGCTTGTTTTTTTTCTCAATTTTAAAAAAGCTCCTGGAGGTTCAAAAGTTTGTCGGTATATAAAAATTCTTCGGTTTCCGACGTGCTTCGGGTTTCAAAAAATCCAAAAAGTCTGTGTGGAGAAAAAATGGTCGGCAATTTAGGACTGGTAAATTGGTTTGGCAAATTACTCAAACACCAAATTAACGAGCAGATTATTCAAGCAATTAATCGCTCATTTTTGCCTTCAAACTCAGAAAAAAAAGCTAATGGATAGATTTTTGATGATTAAAAAATTAATTTCTAAGTCTTATAAATTTTTCTTTACCTTTTAAATTACTGGCTAGAAAACATACTGTTAATTCCACAGAAACTCTCCGTTTTCGATGAAATTGGTATTATAAAGCAATTCACAGCAGGCAACCTTCCCATGTGCAAAATTCGTGAACAAAATTATCACCGAGAAAAACGCGTGAAAACGTTTGCACGGTGGTTGCTAGAAGCAAAAGTTAAAATAGCCAATCAAATATTGGAAAAAAATCAAGGAACTTGAAACAAAAGAAAATCTGTTAATATTTTCCAACTTTTGAAGCAAAATATATCACGTTAAAACAAAAACATTTTTTACTGAGTGGCCTTTCTTACTTTTTTCAAAAAACAAACCCAAATAGAGAAAACCAGAATAATGGGTAAATTTGATTGCGCTCGGAATTCTGAAAATTTAATTCAGTTTTGATCAAAGTAATACACACTTTTTTGCTATTCACATTCTTCTTAGTGATTTCTTTAGCATCTGAATTTGAAATGAGCTTAAAGAAATCGAAAACCAAACTCAAAAGGATCAATATTAAGCGCACACAACTTGTTTTTTGAAGAGACCAAGCATCTTAGAAGTGCTTTCAGTGACACTTAAAACAGGAAACTGTCTTTCGCTCGGTAGCAATCTATACTTATAATAAAAGTCGTTTGTGCGTGTGCGTTTGCGCGGTACCGAAATCCTCATGAGATATAGAAGCAACCTTTTTTAAGAACGCAACCATGAGAAGCTTGCCTGTGTGAACGATTTTTAAGATTTTCCCGAATAAATTCTCATCACGCCATATATAAGAGTCTTCATTACATTCATCCCCCTAAAAATTAAAGTCCATTTTGAAACTAGAAGTCAGTTACGTTTTTTGAAGTCCATTTTATTTCCATTACATGCTAAGATACAAATATGTGCATCTTCAAAGAGTAACTTTATTTGCTTTAAGAGCCCCATAAATTTTAATTTACTGAAAATCTTTCTGCACTGAAGTTGAAATAAATTTTGAACTCTCAGTTAGCAACCACACTTTTCTTTAGGACCAGAAAAAGGCTACGGAGTTACTTGACAATAACCAAATTTTCTCTCAAACAGCAGCTTTCTGGTTTCAAAAGGCCATTAACTAAAGAATATATTGAAACTCTGGATCTATAAATATCAATCATAAGTTATCATCAATTAATTTTGATAAGGTTTCTAGCTTACAATTCATCGCGAAATCAGATCTGGACATTATTAGTTACTTTATGACACAATGGTAAGTTAATGACAACTAAAGACAATAAATTGCGATAATATGAGAGAATCAGTCACCATTTTCACTGTGCTTTTTCGGCGTCAAGATTTAAATTTGAGTCTATGTGAAAAATTGAAGGTATTCATTGAATGCTGAGGCGTGTGGAGCATACATTGTCGAAAGAAAAGTTCTGAGCGGGTGTTTAAAAGGACCTCACTTTTCCCGGTGTGTAATTTTTATCGATCACGGGTTCTTGCAAAAACATGTGCAGACATTTTTCGTTCTGAGCTAGAGGATGTCCAGCGACTCTGAAACGCATGAAAAGATTTGATACTATGAAACATGCCAAGTTCCCGGTTTTTTTTTCTAGCGTAATGTGCGCAACCAAGCAGTATATTATTTACAAATGAGCGAAACCTTTCCAAAAATCTATTTTACAAATCTTGTGTCATTTGGTGATAACTCGGGCCCGAATAATATGTATATAAATTTTAGTTTTCAACGTAGGTTCAACGTTTTTGCTTGCGCCAAACTGGTTACCCAGAAACCCAACTAAGCTTGTATGCAGGCATTTTCTAAAATTTTTCTCCTTCATTCTGATTCCTAATTAAACTTCCCAAAATTTTTCCAAAACAAAAATGATACGCTTTTTACTCAGAATGAAACATGGGCAAAAGACATTTTGCATCAATTAAAAACTCGATCAGAACAACTACACGTATCCTATGCTATTGTGACTGTTCCTCGCATACCTTCTTATCGCTTAAGCTTCGAATGACGCTACTACCTGTTGACAAAAGCTTCAAGTTGCTGTCTTCTGTCTTCGATGAAACTCTCCGCGAAAATGCCTTGATCGTTTCTAAAGGGTAGTTGTCTTCCAAATGCTTTCCCAGGCAAGGGCGGAACAAGGATCTGAAACAACAAGGCTCAAGCTCAAACATAGCCAATTGACTTGTTTTTTGAAAAAATCTCAGCATTCGAAAAAAAAGATGGCATTAAAGCTTTTTGAATTTATAGAATCATTTTTGATAAACACTTTCTTGCTAAAATAAAAACCCAATTTGAGAATAAATTATAATCTCAGTATATGTTTAGTATTGGCAACAGAGAGGGGTAGGATTTGCAAGGAGGACAAAGATGTGAATGAGCCCAAGAGTGAGTCCTGTGAACAGAGTCAATTACGGGAAAAAAGTCTTACACCCGATTGCAATACTTTTTAAAGGTAATAGCACTGCAACACAAAAAATCTTCCCCTTTTCAGTGGTTGGATTAAAAAGTTGTGCTTATTTTTGACATACGCGAACCAGTATTCGTAACTTTCCAACTGCGCTTGAAAAACTTCCAAAGATATCTTTAAACTTAATTTTTTTGAATAAAAAATTCTTGTCTCAATTCAAGAAGTCTTGATATGGCTATGCTGTCAATGTTTAGATTTGCTAGAACATGTTTTCATGATTATATCAAGATAAGATGTAACAGTTTTTTTATAGTTTGTCATTGCTTTTTATGCCTGAGTAGCTACATCCTCAAATGCGCATTCAGGTAGTCTCAGCTTTTCTTCTTTCTCCGGAAAGCTTTTTCAGTACACCGCGCTGATTGTAGTGTAAGAAAATTTTAAGCGATATTAATGGCTGCTCCACGATCGTCCTGATTGTGTTCTTTCACAGATCTATGGGCATGATGCTTTAGTTGTCTCATCGAGGGGCGATGGATGAAATTTTTCGTCTTTTTAGTCTGAATGGCTAAAAATTTTGTCTGGAATGGTTAACACGTTAAAGTACTTCAGAGAGAAAAAATTGCTTAGTTTGGGTGAGGGGGATGTCATCCATCTCACCGTAGCCGGTCCCACATTGCGGAGGCGGATGGCAATGGGATCCCTTCAACCATGACCGCAAGAAGTGAAATCCGTACGCATGACTCGTATTACTATACGCTTTCCTTGCGCCACTCAGCCACGGCTGCACTAGTACTTCCAGTGGAAATTGGTTAGCTTCATCGTCGCTACTACGCTCCACACTGCGGTCTTCGCTAGTGTGTCTTTGCATGGAGGGGGCTCCGATTCTAGTAACTGACACTTCAAGTGAATCACCAACCGTAACACGGGAAGGCTAGCAGAGTTATGGCGGTGGTGTTTTATGTCGTCTAAACCGTATCTGCTAAACCGTAAATTTGAGTGTATCGCGTGGGGGTATTGAAGCACTTTGAACATTCGTTAGAGAACTTTGGGTCAAGTCTGTTGAGGTAAGAAAAAATTAGGAATGAGTAACCGGAGCGTAGTTGGATGAGGCTGGAACAGGCTTTCGACTGTAAAGCTCAGTTGGAGAGATTTGTTTTCGCTAAGTATTTTCGGTCTGTCGACAGTTTCAAAGTATTTAGAAACTGCTCGTGGGTCTAGCACTTTTGTATATGGATTTCGGCTCCCTTGTCGATGAGCTCGTAAATGTCCAACAGGAAGCCCGCATTGTAGCTTTTGAATGTGGGTTTAATTTGTCTGAGTGGTCGATAGTTTCGAGCATCGCCCTTCCGGCAGGGTTGTATAGGTGGTAACTGGCATAGTATTCGGAGGAGAATAGGTTCGTGTGGTGTTTTACGGGAAGGATAAGGCTTTCGGTATGTATCTGATCGAATTTGGTCATTTTAGTGCATCGAGTTACAGAGCAGAGGGCGGCGTTTTTTCCAGTTGGTTCTCTCAAGATAGATGTAGTGCTTGCTGCCTGTGACCCGGTTGGGGCAGAGTACTCTAGAAGAAGTCTTAAGATACGTTCATGAGTAGTCAAAAGTCCTGATTGTTTTCCTTCACAGATCTATCGGTCCAGTGATGACCAAATAAAAAAAAGATTTATCGGAAATTATTTGAATATAATAAATAAACCAAGAATGTAAACAAAATTTTAGCGCGATTTAAATCGCAATTGCAATAAATCTTTTCAATAAAAATGGGCTAATTTTTATTGGATTTCCGTCAGCTTTTCGGCACGTATTATAGCTATCCCAAAACTAAGCGCAGGTTATGACGTCACGCTCGCTTCTACGTCATGACGGCATTACCCGCTCGCCATCGAATTACTGTATTATATTGATTCAATATGCAAGGGAATACGGACATTCGAATACTGCACATACATCTAACTTTGATGAACGCTTCTACTTATTCGTTCTTTAGTTAAACTTGTTTTCGATGGGACGCACTAAACTTGACGAAACTGAGGCCTGGCAGAGAGAATGTTTCTTGGTAAAAGAAAATGGCGAGGAATGGTGGCAATGCAGGCACTGTCCGTAGACAAAGCAAACTAAAGGCCTGGAAAAAAGTAGCTTCTTAACGAACGCCAAACGCCATTTCCGGGCTCTTAATAAAGAGATATTCGACAAAATTATGCCTCTAGAGAAAGAAAACCCTTCCCAATTACGTCTTGCGAACAACATGACTATTGTTACGGAAACTGAGCAGTTTAAAAGAGATATGATTATACGTTTTGCTCAAACCCTCTTGCCCATAAACGTGTTCCGCGCCAAAAATACGAGATTATTCTTGGAATCAGTTATGAAAGTACCCAAATTGTCCAACTACAAAACAATTCAGGACTATATGGCGAAGTTAGAATCGGATTGCATTGCAAAACTCAAACAAGTAGATTTTTTTTGGCATGCAACTCGATCACTGGACAAATGTGAGAGGTGAGTCTGTTTTTTTGATATCGATTTCTTGTTTATCGGAAAACTGGAACCATAGAGTAAACTGTTGATTTCAAACTTGTTGATAAAACTGAGATAGGGACCAGTTTGAGTTTATGCAAGTGCTATCAATTTTTATCTTTCTGTCTGGAGACCTGCTTTCGTGACCTTGCGATCTCTAACGTCCGGTATGATCTGAAATAGAACGGTGCAGTAAGATTTCGATTTGATGCCTAACAGTTGCTTACAATTCAAGTTAAACAACTATTCATTTTCTATACGATACATTTCTATACTTCAACATGGCGCAGTCAGCGGAAAGGAAAGGAGGGGGAAAGAATCCACTTAATATACCATCATTTTGGGACGCACGGACACCGGAACCGCCAATTTACTGAGAGGAGTGGATCATAAAGTTTCCTGGGGGATAATAGCAAAATATGACATTGATCCCGATGATTTCTATTTTGCGCGTACCTTAAATGCGGCGGCGATTGGAGCGTTGTCAGAGGATGTAAATGGGAAAACGGTATTGAGGCGGAAAAGAAGTTGAAGTCTAATCTCTATCCCTGTATTGGAGACGAAGCGCAAAAGATCTTTAAAGCACGAAAACCGGCGGTGAATGTTAAAACGGAACGTTACCCACGGGTTCTTGACGAGATGCAAAATGTCTTCAAACGTGAGCGTAACGTAACCCATGAGAGAGGACTTTTCTATGGAAGAAAGCAGAGGGAAAATGAAACATTTGAGAAATTATACGCGGAATTGAGCGCTCTTGCGGGCAGGTGTGATTTTGCTAATGCGGCCGAAAACGTTCGTGATATTTTTATTATGACATGCGGGAATCGGATTGCCAACGAGAATTATCACGATCAACAAAGTTACCCGAGGAAGTCTATAGGATCGCATTATCGTATGAACGTGCATATAAATCATACACTGGAAAACCGGCCTCGTCAGCGCCGCCGATAACTATAAAACAGGAGCCAGTTAATAATATCAGAAGGGGACAAGAATTTTGCAGAGGTCGAGCACGCGGGGGACGCGGAGGATACACCCAAGGATCAAGCAGTGGGGGAAGCGGTAACAACCGTAGGTGTTATAATTGCGACGCACACAATTTTACTCTTGAAAGGGAGCAACATGTAATTCGTGTCAGAAACTGGGATATTTTGAACGAACATGCAGAGGAATTAGGAGAGGTACTAACCAGTGGAGAGGACGAGTCGGATTAGTGAGAGATGAAAATGAGCACCATCAGAGCATGCAGAGTCTTAATGATGTGGCAGAAGATCCAGTGGCTTGGGTGAATCAGCAGGGAAGCAGGGAGAATGAATCCATGACGTCAGGATCTGATGACTACATGGTGATGTCGATCAAGAGGAAGAAGAACGTGACAGAACTAAAGATCCCTGGGGCCCGAGTCCAGGTTGAGGTGTCAGGGAAGAAAATGTGGTTGTGGATAGATATCGGATCCCGTGACGATTTTCAGCATGACAGACCTGAAAACAACATTAGGTAAAGCGAATATTCAGTTACAACCTTCGAAAGATGAATTTTTGGACTACAACAACAACCGAATACACATACTTGGGAAGGTAGCGGTGACGATGTTGTTGAACGGCTGGGCAGCACCAGCACAAGTGTCAGTAATATCAGGAACTCATCAGTCAATCCTTGGGCGTAATCTGATGGGAACCATAGGCCTGGAGTTGGTGCAAAGAAGGAAAGTGATGGGAACCACGGGGGAAGGGAGCAGTCAAGAAGAAGAGGAATATGATGAATTGCAAACATATTTCTGTAAGTTGTACCCAAACTTATTTACCAGGATAGGAAAAATCCGGAACGCTTAAGTAAGAGCCGATTTCTTCGAAAATTTAAATCCGATACAACAAAAGGGGCGCCGGGTGCCTATCACTCTACAAGATAAGGTAGACAAAGAAATTAATCGGTTGATAAACGAAGGTCACATCATCAAATTACAAGAGTGCTCGGATAAGTATTTTGTCTCTCCGATAGTCATCACAGTTAAAAAAGACGGAAGCATAAAATTGGCATTAGAATCACGACAACTGAACAAACAGGTACACAAGAATAAGTACCAAATGCCAAATATTGACGAACTAGTAGACGGAATAAGTCAGATAATTGCAGAAAGGAAAACGGGGGATGTATACTTTACAACGCTGGATTTCACATACGCGTACGGACAAGTTTCCTTAGAACAAAAAACAAGTGAG